TCACAGTGGAAAGGTTTGAGCTTCTCCCAGGTACGAGATAAGACACGGAGGTCTACATGTATATGTCTGTGAGTGAGTGAGTGAGTGAGTGAGTGAGTGTGTGTGTGTGTGTGTGTGTGTGTGTGTGTGTGTGTGTTGACTCCATCTGTCTCCATGAGGGTTTATTCTGCAGTCTAAGTTTCCATAGTCCTGTGTCAGGTGAGTGTGTATGGACGTGTGGATCCATGGAGAACCTTTAGATGATCTGCTTTTTTCTTTTCATCACACTCATTGTTTCTGTGGATTTTATTGCTCATTTCTTTGCATCATGGTTAAAAGTGCAATAAAAGAAAATGAGCAGGATTTCATAGTGTCTCTATGTTTTCTTTAGTAGGAGAATTACATGAGTTATAACATGAGGTTATTTAAGAGATGATAATGGCCATTGATGTCCACATCTTACAACCTGCAGCCAAAGTGATATTTGAGATTTATTTTAATGTGGAATCTGTAATTGTCTTTAAACTCCATATATTGTCTTTAAATGAATATATAAAAAAAATTCAAAAAGTATAACTGAATTCTTGGATCCGCTCGTGATCCAGATCCACACAAGAATTTCCTTCACTGACCCACAGCCTTCCACCAAGTTTCATCCAAATCTTTCCAGTAGTTATTGTGTAACAAAAAAGTTAATAATATCTCCACCAAGTTTTAATTAACCATAACAAGAATATGTATCATAATTATTTCCTTCATGGCACCTTTCTCAAAACCTGAGGAAACCTATTAATAGATCAAACAATTTAAATTGAACCAAAGGATCAAATTGCAGAAGGTTGACAGAATGGGATGAGGTTCTATTTGGTAAACTGGTGTTTTGATCAATGTTCTCATTTCAAAATGTTGCAATTTCCCAGTCTTTATTTTACCAGTCTACCAGTTTATATTTCTTTTTGGATGAGTCATCCAAAAGCATCAGGTCATATTGTTAATTTAAGATAAAAATGTAAATATATGTTATAAAAAATATAAATTTGAAAATGATATTAAACAGTTACTCAACCTAGAATAATAATTTGCTGTCTGATTAAGAAATATGCAAATATTTCCCTTTAAACCTTCAAACAGCCGAGCACAAGATGTCTCATACAAAATTTCAGTCTCAGTGTGAGTAGACTGAACACGTCAAGTTTCCTCCTCAGACTTCTGAATCTCAATTAATCTCCGAATCACTGACACATATTCACATTTTTAACTCAGATTTAAATCCATACAGAAGTTAAGTGAAGTAACAACAAGCGAAACACATTTTTAAGGGAGGTGGACTTTAAGTCTGACCCACGAACCAAATGTCTAATAACTGGATTCAGGGGGAAAAAAAAGGTATTAGCCTTTCCAAAGAAAAACAGATGAGACATTGGATGTTGAAAACATTGCAGACACATAGCTCATGGAAAACAGAAATAATCCCACCCTACCATCTGAAGAAATGATTCAACAAAGATTTATTTATCCAGTTTGGAACAGACACACAACTAATAACAACGTGCTATTAGCTCTGATCAAGATAAACACAACAGACCCATTAAGGCAGAGTTGTTGGTATATACTCAGGTGATCAGAGGCCTGTTCAGGACTTCTTGTCCGTGGCGCTCCAGTGTAATTTAGTGACACACAGTGAGGATATGTGCACAGCACAGTGCAAAGGAAAACGGCCCTCAGCCCCTTTAGCTCTGTGCCGAGCATGTTTACTGTTCCCACTGCACTGTTGTGTTTTGATAACCTTTCCTCGCAGAACAGCCCCCAGAAAAGCTACTTGGTTGGTTTACATAACGCACGTATACACACACACACACAGGCTGACTATGAATGGAGGAAGCAGTGTTGTGAGACAACCATCAGAGGGACAGAGAGTGACCAGAGGACAACCAAGGGCTGTAATCAGTGCGGCCGGCCGCAGACAGGACGCCAGAGGAAGCCTCGTCATGGGAGTGAGACAAGAGGCTCTTATCAGATCTGAGTTCAAACCAGCCTGATACTGTAACCTCCTCCTCTCCTCTACACTCTGTGCTGATCCCACTCACTGTTTCATATGTGAATCTGTTCTTCTTGTTCTGGAGGAAACAGACTCAGACAGAGAACTTCACTTGTTTAAGTCTGTTCTCTTGATCTGTGGCTGAGTGTCTCAGTGTTGATGGACTCTGTGGTGGAATTATTCAGGACGGAATTATAACTTCAATTAAACTTCTTGTATTGGAAATATTCCTTAAATACAAGTATTATTAGCAAGACATGGTTCATTAGATTAGATTAGAAGGAATAAGTATTCAATGAGTATTATAACATTAAATATTCCATTTGATTTCTGATGTCGGCCATGGTCACACCAACTTTTACTTTTACTTATTGATACACAGTATTTCACAGTTTGACATAAAGAAAGACATTTATTATTTAACTTAAAATCTCAACATGCAATTTTACAACCAGCCAAAGATGGTCTTCTGCATATAACCTGAAAATGTAAATGAGTGCATTACAAATAAGAACTTAAGAACATCACCTGAGTAAATGTATTAAGTTGCATTCCTCCGCTGGCAGTACTGTTGACTACATACTGTGATATTTTTACTGGTTGAGCTAAAACATAATTTCAAGTATTTTTTTGAATATAGAACATATTCATAAATGTAATGTGATTGAATAGAAAAGTTTTCAGAAAAGTTATTTTACTTCATGATGTAGCGCAGTTTTAATGAAGCCACTTAAACTCTGAGCCTGCACCTAAAATTGAGTACAGCGTTGACCTTTTAGCTGCTTCATTACCCCATCAGAAACAAACAGAGCGCTGCTTTAATGTCTCCAAGTCGCACCAGTGTTCAGCCTCTGTTCACGTCTCTGCTCCTGCGGGGCCACACACAGAGGCCTGGCAGACCTCGGGCTGTTTCCTCAGCCTCGGTCGCCCCACAGGAGGCCTCCAATTGCCCTGTTAAGAGCCCTTCAAAATACACATCCCCCTGTTTTATAGACACGGAAACAATTTATGGCCATTATAGAGCATTATAGATAGCATCTCCAAAACTTCCCGTTGTTGACTAAACGTCTGCCAGAGTGGACACACACACACCCCAAAGAGTTAACAGAGAGAAAAAGACAACAGAGATGCAAAGGATCTTGTTTGTTGGTTTGGGTTTAGCTGTTTTAAGTACAGTTGGAGAGATTAGGCTATAAAAAGAAGCAGAATAACACATGAAGGCGGCCTGTGAGTATGGTGAGACCACCCAGAATCCTACTGAAGGAGGAGGAGGAGGAGGAGGAGGAGCAGTGTGCAGCACACTCTCCAGGTTCAGACGACCATGCTGCTACTGTGAAAGCAGACTAGTTGAGTCCAGGTCTTTCTGCTGAAGTCTATTTGCTTTTGCTGATGCATTACTCACTTTCTCTTGTTTTATTTGCCGTTCTTTTAATCTGCTTTTTTCTTTCCGTGCAGCATAATTCTGTTGAAAAAGTTCTATATCAATTAAGTTTATTATTATTATGTGATAATTAATTAATACGAAAAAGAGGATTGCCCTGGTGTAAAATTAGACAAAAAGGTAGTTAATAGTCGCAGAAGTAAAACTCACTCTGCAAACACACATTAATGTCTTTTGATTTGATTTTGATGCACAACAGATTTAAAAAAGAAAGAAATTGTATCCATGCTGTTGAACTGTATTCTGGGAAATGTAGTTTTTGGTATAAAAAGCTAAAAATATTTATATTACTGGAGAAAAACCACAGTGACACACAGAAAGATCCCAATAACTGCGCCGCCCAACTATTCATTCATTTATTTATTTATTTCACGTACACTACTAAACATGAATGTTACCATTTGATGCATTTTACCACACAAGGCGTATTATCACATTATCACCTGCAGCCCCCTGGCAAGTCACAATTAACACATATTAAAACACAGTCCAATACAGTTATACATCACACACACACACACACAGAGACTTCTATCATGAATTAGTGTCACATCAGGTGATACTAGATCTGAGAATGGACTGAAAATATCCTTCATTCATCGGTAGAGTGAATGAAGTTACTGAGTGATGTTAAAAATATAAATCAGATCAGGAACATAACGTCCTGCTCAGCCTGAACACACCAACAGTTTGATCCAGCCCACAGCCATTCTGATGCACTGAGGCCACATGTTCCGCACGTGAGCACTTCCTGTCTGTGAGACTTAAACAGAGAAATAATGATTTTACTTCACTGAGTGTAACCGCTGAGGGTGTGGCTGAGTAACATTTTTATTTTCCTTTGACCATCCATGAATATTCCAGACAGGGTCTTTGCTTTTAAAGTCCTGAGACTGTGGAACGTCATACATATTGAGATGAGACAGAAAAACATCAGTGTCTTTTAAATCTCTTCTTAAAACTTAAATGTGTTTAATATACAATGTCTTTTTTATGTGTGTATGTGCGTATGTATTATGTGTTAGTCTCCATTTTTGTAATTCTTTGAAACAGAAACTTTGTTTAAAAAAAGTGCTATAAAGATAAAGTGTATTATTCGGATTAATATTATAATTATATTATAATGTATCAGTACCAAGTGCAGGATATGGCCTTAAAAGAGAATGTTCATGGTGTGAAATTGTATAAAAAAAAATTTCCCAACACTTAAGAGATTAGAAAGTATAGATTATTTTAAAAGATTAAGGTAGAAACTGTCCAGCATTTTTTGGTGATAAAAGCAGCAAACTGTGGGCAGTGAAATAAATAAAATCTTGATCAGAAATATAAAATACACGTGGATGGCAAAAAAACAAGCAGAAGAGTGCAGAGGACCAGGAGCAGGGCTGTAAGAGTGCAGGGAGGGGGTCCTGAGACCTGCAGAGCAGCTGGGACGAGGGGAGGAGAGGGGGGCTGGAGGGGCAGCCGTCATCAGCAGAGCTGCTCTGAGTGTGTGAGTGTGTGTATGAGTGTGTGTCAGCCGGCTGAGCAGCAGGAGAGAGGTGTTGCTGCTGGGCTCGGGCCGGGACAGTCAGAGGAGCCACAGCAGCAGAGTTCACACGTCCTCACAGAGTAGAAATGTTTGATAACACCCACTACCCCTTCAACTGCTTCAACTACGATGGGGACGGATACCCTTCATCCAGCACTGACGAGGACAAGAAGATGTGCAGACCTGCATACAGGTATGGAGGATTTCACTTTGCTTTCTTTCTTTTGTAACTTTTACTGAGCCTCTTCAGTTTTCCCACAAGCGTAGATAAATACATTTAATAGACCCTGTGATTATACAGAACTTTTATTGGTAGCTTTTGCTTTCAGTTTGGTAAAAGAGAACAGAAAGAATTTGTGTGTCAGCTTATGTCAGTTTTACCAGGTCACTTTTCCCATTTTCCACCCATTACAATTCATGATAGAATTTCAGTATTATATTATATTTATATCATATTTTATTTCTCAAAACAATAATCAAAGCTTTGACTCTTATTTAGGCACTTATTACTCTTCAAATTATTTTTTACTATTCAGAAAATAATGAGTAATTTGAGTTTCTTTTGCTGCTACTGTTTTTAATTTGATCTTCATTCTACTTTACTAATTAATGTTACAACAAACATATCTTATACAGCAGCTTACCTGTGTGTGACTGTAGAATTCAAAATCATTTTCAAAACATTTCATTAAGTTTTGCTCCAGTGTTTTGTTGTGTTTCTCATCATTGTCTTGTCTCTTACGTCACAAATCTCCATCATTTATTAAAATTGCTACTGAACACAATTTAGCTGGGTGACATTTTCTGAAATCTGTATAGAAAATGATGCATTACTTCGACTTGCTGTGCTCAAAAACACGGTTACAGTCAATGGATTTACACTCGCTCTCTGCTTGTGGTGTTGACAGCAGATTTTACACACCATCACCTCTTTTAATCCTTCTAATGAAGTGAAGTCAGTTTAAATTAGTCATTTTATAAAAGCTTGTTCACAGCGTCTGATGTTCTGAAACTAAGAATATCAAACATTTCTCAGTAAATCACTTGATTTAAAAATATTGTAATCGTTAAATTTATATACATACGTATATATATGTATAAATATATATATATATATTTATATTTATATATCAAATATTTTTATATTAATGAATCCCCCATTTAACACATGGAACATAACAATTTTCTTTATTTCTTTATTATAAGTGGTCGACTAGTGGTAATTAGTGGTCAGCCTTTGAAATTTCAGAAATTTGTGGTACAAATTTTCAAAACAAATTATTCATGAAAAATAGATTCTGCAGTTTTTATTACTTTTACAGATGTACCATCTGTGGTATGTTAGAGTGTTGAGTAAAGAGAATAACATAAAGGTACGGATCCTCCAGCTGGTGACCTTGTCCATGTCTGTGTCTCAGCTACATCGCTCTGATCGCCATGGCGATCCAGCAGAGCCCCGAGCAGCGTGTCACTCTGTCGGGAATCTACGAGTTCATCATGAAGAGGTTTCCGTACTATCGCTCCAACCAGAGAGCCTGGCAGAACTCCATCAGACACAACCTGTCTCTCAACAGCTGCTTCATCAAGGTAAAGACTCAGCAGAACGCAGGGCACCCTGGGAAATCACGTCTGTTTAACATGATGTTCATGTGTTTTAATGGCTAATGAAAGAAATTTGTCCTAAATGCCTTTTAAACCACATGAATGAATATTAATTCAGCCAGTAATAATAATGTATTTCTTCATTGATACGTTTTTTATTTTTATTTCTCCAGGTTCCTCGAACAGAGGGCAACGAGAAGGGGAAGGGAAACTACTGGACTTTTGCCACTGGCTGTGAATCCATGCTCGACCTCTTTGAAAATGGTAACTTTCGGCGTCGCCGGCGCAGGAGGAACATGAAAATCAGCCTCCGTGACTCTGGAGAAACCCCTTTCCACCCTCTGGAAAGCCACAACAATCAACATGTACCCTCAGCCCGGCACCCAGAATCTGACTCCACCCTCTGCCCTTTGAACCCTGACAGGCCGAGGCCGGGTCCGCAGCAAAACCTCCTCGTCCCAAACCCCACCCAGCAGGGGAAACCAGAGTCGGAGATCAAGTTTAGCATTGACTACATCCTGTCCACTCCAGATCCACCCCTACCTGGGTACAGATCCTCCTATGGCCCCGTGCACATAGGGCCCACAGGGCCGCCATTGCATGTTCTGGAGTCCCAGCAGCTGAACCTGCACTTCTGGACTCTGTGAGAACATGAGAGGAAAGAAACAAAGAGACTGAACTGGTGACTTGTTCAAAACTGGGAGGTTTAAGGACATCCAGAGACAAGAGGGATTCCACAAGAGGAATTTTACAGACTTTAAAATATACATGAGGAACAAATAAAGAGGTACAGTACGGTGTGATCAGGTCATCATGCTGTCAGAGTTGAAATGTGAACAAAACAGTGGAGTGTTCATGTTGTTGCTGTTAGTGCAGTGTTCAGTACTGACGTAGAGTATAGGTTTATATATATATGTATATATATATGTAAATACACAGGAGCTGTGAGGATGATGTGTTTAAAATATTTGAAACAAAGTGAAATTAACTCCATATGTTGGATTTATTGATTTATCTTCAGGTCACATGAGGTTCTTCATAAAAGAAGAGTTAATGTTCATGTCTGTGTCGTCACATCATTGTCCCCTGTTATGTTGGTCTGCAGAATTTAAACTATTCTGATTACAGTTATTTTAACCTAACAAAATGACAAGAATGTCAGTAATTCAATTCAATGTATTTGTATAGGGTCTAATCTTAAAATGCATGATCTCAAAGCTCTTAAGAGAAGAGCCCAACACTCTCCTTAAAGTCAATCAAGCTGCACAAAATTTCACACACCAATCAATCTGGGAAATCAGTGAAAATGAAGAAAAAAAAGATAAATACATTTTTAAAAATTGTATCTTAGAATGTTAAAGAAAATTATTTAAAAATCTGTTATTCACTCTCTAATCTAGATCCAAGCCAAAATGTATTCCCTGACACACCCTTCATCTTTTCACCAAGTTTTGTTGAAATCTGTCTGGTAGTTTTTGCATAATCCTGCTCACAAACAGACAAAACAACAAACAAACTGTCAGGGGTGGAGACATCACCTCCAGGTAAATAACGACCTTCAGAACTAAATCCATTTCCATACAACAATATACAAACACACTAATATCACACAGGTCAGAGCCATTGTTGACGGTGTTACCTGTGTTTTTCTACAAATAGTATTTTCTTTAAAAAAGGCCTATTCTGACTGAATTCAATTATTCCAGTCCCTCCCACCTCCCACATTTTGCAAATTCTTTTCATTGACCTTTCAAAATCCTGATTGACTGACACTTAAATTCTAATCCCGTCAGGCCTCATTACAACAAACTGTATTCACACACTTAAGAGAAGCCGAACCAAACGGAGGCCTGTAACATTTCCTGCCTGTTCGGGGGGAGATCAATCATGGCGTGTGCCTGAGCAGCTGAAGGGACATTTTTCAATTTAACCTTTATATTATGTCTTGACTACATCAGAGGAGTTTCAACACACTTATCATGAGTGGCATTTAATATAGCAGAACACTTGCAAGGTGAGGCCGAAATGTGACCTTATTTAAATACAGAGGCCCCCGCGAAGCAGCCAGCAACAGCAGCAGCCCCTCCCCCCAACAAACACACACACGAACACCAGACGCAATTATAATTAAACACACCTTATGCCTCCTTTGCAAATGCCCCTCATCGATCTGTGGGTTTTTAACATTCATATGTGAACTGCCCCCCAGCAAACGTCTGTGGCAGCACAAGCGTTTATGGATCAGTAAGTTTCCATTAACAAAGTTGTTGATGTTGAATAGCTGGCTGCCGCCGCCATCATGATGCCGTGGATATATTTGGGTAAATTAACTTAGCATAAAGTGCTCTGAGGCTGCGGGGTCTTTTGAGGCAGCTAAAGAGAAAGCAAGGCAACAGTGAGGCCCCCAAAAAGTCAATGCACATATTACGTTGTCAGAGAATGTGTGAAAGTGTAGCTACTGGCGCAGTTCACCAATGAACGTCCTCCATTAAATTACCATATTTTCATCCAGTTAGTTTCATTCCAGCTAATCCCCCTACCATCTTCTGCCACTTGTTTATAATTACACACACAATGTCATTTCCCATTTATCGGAGTGTGGAGATGTGTTTTTGTTTGAGACTTCATTACGCTCGCCAGGTAAAATGAGCAGCTCTGGGCGAGAAACAGCAGAAGTGCAGGTGGAGGAAATTGGGAAAAGCGTTGATCTGCAACGTTAATATAAAATAAATCATAAACACAAACAGGTGATTTAATCTCCCCCGCTTGTTTAGCGGCTGAGGCTGTGGTGAGGATTATGGGATGAAGATAAATATTAGCTTGTTGTTTTTTGTTCTAATGAGAATGTATCTGTGTAATTCTGCTGTTCGCTCGAGCTGAGGTCGGAGGAGGTGAATAATCTCAGCGCTATCACTAGGAGCGAGCAGCTAATGAAGATCAGTGAAATAGCCCCAGGCCTCTGACGTACATGCATCTCTGCCCTTTGCCATTTCTGTGGCACGTGCTGCAGGTGAAGCCTGAGCGCACTTTAACGCTGGAATATGCTTTTGTGTTTTGTTTTTTGAAATGGCTTCCAGTGCATATATATATATATATGTGTATGTGTGTGTGTGTGTGTCAGTAATGAGAAAATCAACACAGCATGTCAATCAATTCAAGTTGGAAGATGTTGACTGTTAGAGGAACGTCCCTCCCAGGAATAAAGAGGGAGTAGAGCTGATGAGAAGAGAGGAAAAAAGGGGAAAATGGGCAGTTTAATAAAAGGAAAAAGGGGTTTGACATTCAAAAGGAAAATTAAACTCAGAGAACTGCCAGATAGATGTTTAAATTTGTCACATCTCATTTCATAAACATGCCACCTTCAGTAAAGTTTTAGAAAAGAGGTTGAGCCATTATTTGACCCTTTACGCATATTGTTTTAATGCCCCCTGCACCTGAAACCTACAGAGAACTTCTTTAAAGGCACAAATATATGATTACACATGACAGGAACAGTTTACTATGTATTGTAATCTATTACAATGGGCTCAATTATTACTATCGGGTTCAATAAACAGCTTTGTGGTGAGTCCCAGCATCATATACTCATATACTGACAACAAAGACATTAAAAAGACGTCTGTGTTTGTTTTAAAAATGTCAAAGTAATTTCCTAGGGACTGTAGTTTTTTAAATATACAGGTGTACATGGTGGGTTTGTTGTGGACTACTTTCAGCTGTGGATTAATGCATTTATTTTAATACCCATTTGATGCATTGTTAATGAAGGAATTGTGTCACTAAGTGTAATAGTCATCCAATAACAGTGGAGCTCTATGACACAGAATAACCTTATAATAATAAAAAGATGTTCTGTTTAATATGTCACAGAAAAAACAAATTGAAGCTGATTAGGTGAGATTTCATTTTAATATTAAATCACTTCAGTAATGAAGCCGAACATCATCCATCCTCGTACAGGCCTGTTTTCTAATCCGGATGTTGTCCCTGATGCAGCTTCAGAAGTCAACATCACAAAGCTTCAACAGTCAAACACACACAGGCTAACGGCTGTTATTTAATAATGGATCACACTTGTTGATGCTGTTGATGGTCGAGTTGTGTTGAGGCCAAGGTCTGTGTTGCAGAGCAGATCCATTGCACTGGCTCAGCTTGACATGCAATGCAACTACAATGCACCACAGCCCAGGCCAGCATGTCCACGCACACTGGGGTCACTCGCTGGATGGTTCCTCCAGGAGGGTTGTTGTGTTTTCTGCAGTATTTTTATTATGCTGCTTTCTATGGTTCAAGATGCTGAATGATGCTTTTTCCACTCACGCTGACCTCTGACACGTGTCGTGAGGCTCTGTAATCCAGCCAACAGGGGGCGCTAACTGCCTGCTTGTGGACTGGACACACACACGCATGCACACACACACACACACACACACACACACACACACCAGGGTGGTGGATAAAGCCTGAGAAAATGTGGATCCTCCAGATTTCTTCTCTTTAGTGATTATTAATCCGACCTTGAGTGATCCCACAGCTCCTCTGTAAAAGATGTTATAATGTGAGAGTTAATGTGATGCTGATCAGAATTTAATCTGAGTCTCATGTTGTATTAGAAGAGGGAAACAATAGTAGAAATCGTTTTTGATCTTGAGTAACTGTATCATCTGCATCATTGTCTAAACATTTAACAGTAGCTGTTGTTGCACATCTTCACACAAACACTAACTTTACTCAGTCTCATCCCAACAAGCTGAAGATCATGTTTCTGCCACAGACAATAAAAAAATATAGTTTTCTCTGATTTAGCTCCATATTCTAATATTTTTCTTCTAAAAATGTAACACACACTTTAAAAAAGACCACATTTCTATACAGTTACTACTTTTTAGTTTGTTTCAAAATTTTCCTCAGTGATCAAAATGAAAACATAAAAAGCATCCATTTACCTCTTATAGAGAAATCCAACAGCTCTTTTGTGTTTTGAATTAAACTCATTTCTTTTTCTTTCTTTTTTTAAACGGCCCATGTTGCATCAAAACAGGGATCCTGTGCACTGGTGTGTTCCAGTCTACTGTCCGACAGACACACCCCTCTTTCTTTTTGACCGGGAAAAACGCTCCAGTGACTGAGGCAGAATGTGAGGGGCCATGTTGTGGGATGAGGCGATTCCAGAGGACCAATGGGGAAGCCACTGGTGTGGGGCCCACAGGCCTCAAGAGAGAGGTGGTAGCAGGGGGGCTACAGTAAATGAAAAGGGTTTACTATAGGACAGCCTCAGCTATTACCATCTGAAGGAGGATCCAGCAGAAGGGTGGTATGACTGGAGCAGTGGCCCGGGCATTGTGGCGAAGAGAACAGCAGTCTTATGAAAATAAGACAAGAAAATGAAGACATAACACGGGATTGCGGATCACACACTGCTAATGTTTTATTAGAGTTCATGCATAAGTCCAACAACACAAAGAGAAATGACAGATGAGGCAACAGGGGAAAGTTGCAGTCACACAGCACAGCCTCCCTTTTCCAGCATCTCTTGTTATATTATCCAGTGACAAAGAAACACACTGTTCCTCTGTAATTCAGGTCTGAGATGGCTCTCTGGCAAAGCTACTGCGACACTGAGATTCAGTTACAAATCACAGACCGAGCTCAAACTGAAATAACCCCGGGGCGATTTCAAACAGGACAGTGACGACATGAATTTGAGATAAAACCGTTTCTGCTGCCATCCACATGTTAAACACTAAAACAAGAAAACATGAACAGGGAAGTTTCCCTTTGAAAATGTGCAACGTTGATGCTGTGTGGAAGGTGTCCAGAGTAGGTCGAACACGTCTGCTTGTTTGTGTGCTAGTCGTTGATTTTAAAAACATGTATCCTTCATGAGATAAATGAGAATAACTGGTGTGATGCGTCAAATCAGTGATGATCTGCGCTAATTAACCACATCTATACGATTACTGCATGGACACAATCAAGCAACCCACAAAACCAATGAACATGACAAAGATACATTAGCTAGCAGCAATGTATAAAAAGGAAATCAGGACTCCATAAACAAAAAGCAAAACACACTAAAAGATCAACATGAGGAGTTCTCATCAACATTTCAAATCATTCCCAGTTTTCCTTTACAACAATGAATTGATTTAAAATACTGATCTGAAAAATAAGCAGTGCAGAGCAAAATATTTCTACACCTCAGCTGAAATATTTCTTTTCCATCTGGTTAAGTGTTTGCTGATTCACAGCACAAGTTGAAAGGTAACACAGCCGTCAGAGTGCATGCTTGTTTGCAGCTTGTTATGATTGTGTAACATGAGGCATTTATTATTGTCAAAGGAGTAAAATGTCTCATTTGTGGCGCTGCATCTGCGGTGAGCTCATTTCTGAAAACAAATGTCATGTTGAAAGGTCAGGCCTTTTAAGATGACATGAAACAAAGGAGAAATGCACAGAGAAAAATATATGTGCAAACAGCTTTTGTAGTGTGACACAGTCATCCCTTATACATATAAAGCTGTGGATTCTGGGTAAAAGTGCGCGGACACACTGGTTATCCAGAACTTTCCTCCCACATCCAGAAGAAAACACAAGTTTGGTCCCTTACATACAGTATCATCTCCTCAGGTGCCAGCAACTCAGACTGGGAACCTGTTTAAAACATTCAACGACACAAAAATATCTTTGCATCCATCTTCAGCATACGGATGTTTACATCAAGAAGATCTGTGGAGCAGACGGAACTACAGCAGCTTCACACTCATAAAATCTCAGCACAATAATCTCAATAAATCTGTTTCCACCAACGGGTCGCCAAACCTTTGCAGGCACAAGCTTTTAACGGAAAAAAACATTTGTCAGTTTGTTGCGCAATTATACTGATCACAAAACTAAAGTCCCTTCTTCATCTTTCTGATTTAGAGTTTGTAAATTGTACTATTCCCTTTTTTTGTGCCCGGTGAGGCACATCCCTATTGTCAGAGCAGCTGCGAGCATAAACCCTTTTCAAAAATCTACATTAAATCAACGTCTCTTTCATACATATTGGAGCTTAAATATACACACAACTAATAAACTGGACATTTGTCATTTACAGATTTACAATCCAACTTAGACAGACTTGCAAAGGTACTGATACAAACACCAAAAGAATATCTGTATATGTAGGCTCGGTGCTTCTGCCTTTCAAGAGCAATTCTGCAAAATCAACTTTAATGCTTCTGTTGGGGGTTCTTTTAAAAATTGAAATCATCAAGGTTGGATGGTCTTAATTCATGCTGCTGAAGGCTTGGGAAGGAAATGGATCGCCTACTTAGGACAATGACTCTTTTTGTTTTTATAAAACTCTACATGTCATCATCAGGATAAGCTGCGACATGAAGCTCTGCAGTCCACAGCAGACGGAGGGAGACTCTTCACACAGAGAGATGAAGGAATAAGCAGGCTGCCTCATTGCCTCTGACATCATGGGGGCGAGATCCAAAATTAACTGAGAGCATTCGATCATTCTTTTTTCTTTTTTTAACAAGGACAGCACGAATCTGTGTAGTGTAACTGAAGTGTGTATCAGGTGGATGTGTTTTAACGTCAGGTCAGTCTGTCATTGGGTGATGCTGCTCAGCTGGTCGGGCTGGGGGGGGCAATCGAGGGTCAGAGGTTGAAGGTCTACATGGCAAACAAAGCGTCCTCTGGCCTGTCTGCTTTCTTGCGGTTGGGGGTTCCCTGCCCTGCACCTGGGTCGCCACTGGGGGGCGACGGTAGGCTGGGTGTCACCTCTGCAGCTTTGGCTCTTTCCTCGAGGAACTTGTCGAACTCTTGAGGATAGAATGTGAACAAAAGGAATAAAACAAGAGGAAGTAAGTTAGTAAGGGGAAAAAAACAGGAAACTGAGAAAAGGAGATATGTGTTGACACTAACCTTCGCTTGTTACACCTTCCTCGCCTTCCTCACCTTCATCTCCTTTCTGGTGGGGGGGGAACAAAAGACAGTTACGCTCGGTCAAACTTACGTCACAGCAAAGCACCAAAAACCAAGAAGAACTCTCATCCTGTGCATGTGACCCAAAACCACTAAATTAAACAAACACACATACAAACACACAACAGCCCAGGATATAGTTGTTATCATGAACAGTGTTTATTACAATACAAGGAGCCACTTACCTGCCACCACTTTGTATTGATGCCCAATTACATAACAAAAAATGAATACCCAAACAAATAAACCAATTGTCTCCCAAACAAAATAGTTTCATTTCACCACTTAGTAATGCAACACAGTAAAATGAGCATGAAGTCATGTAATCCCTTATTGTGAACCAGGGGCAGTTAATCACATCCTGTCTTTAATTGCATCACATTACAAATCTGGCTGTGGGATAAGCTCAGTTGATGTTTTGGTTAAGATTCCGTTGTTAGGCAACATAATTTGGTTAAATTTAGGATAAACCTACTAAACTAAACATCTCTAACAGTAGAATTGTCAGAGATTAAAGCAGACAGATGCTAAGACAACCTGATTAAACAGGTATCTCCCTTAAAAGATTCAATCTCCGAAAAGTACAATTGTTTTTCTGAATTAAGAACACTTTCATATATTCTAGATTCATTACACATGAAGTGAAAGTTCAACTTTTTGTTTTAATTTTGATGATTATGGCTTCAAACATTTCCTAAGATTAGTCAAAAACAGGACTTACAATACAGAAATGTCCAACTTCTGAAAGGCAAGTTCATTTAGGCACTCCACATTGGGTAGGAGCTCCTCTAGCACAAATTACTGTATCAATTACTGCTCTCTTCATTCCAAGTAAGATGCTTCTGATGTTGTTTCTGGTTCAGGATTAGCTTAACTATAGGGATACGACAGTTGTAGTCAATCTCTAGCGGACGTCTGTGTGTGGTGGGTCTTGATGCACTGACTCCCCCAGGTTCTTAACACTTTGACAATCTTCTAAAGACTGTGGTCATCCCTGTTCCTTGTGCAGCTTGTCCTACCACATTTTCCCCTTCCAGTCAAAATTCCATGAATATGCTTTGATACAGCACTCTGCAAACAACCAGCCCTTTTGGCAAACACCATCTATACTGAACTAGAACGAGAGATATGCAGTATTCATACTGTATGAATAGAAATTTACTCAAACTCTAAATGAAATATTCTGATAGTTTGAGATGTGTCTAATTTGAGCTCTAGGCTGTATTCATCATATATTTTTTTAGTTTATAATGTATTTTACATGTAATGAGTCTAGGATATATCAGATTTTCACTTACTTAAATACCTGATGAAAACTATTGAATTTTTTCATGATATTCTTTTAGATGCACCTGTAGACACTTTTCTGTTCAAGACTTTATGCTCATTTCACAAAGTTTTTACATAACAAGGTTATTTGCCCTCACAGCACACTGTTAGTAACTTAAAGTGGATTAGGATGTTACATCAAAGTAATCAAAGTATAAGGAAATGTATTAAGAATAATGTGTAAAAAAGGATAAGTGGATGCAACAGAGTAAAAAGGGAAAACTGAGAGAAAACTGCAGGCAGAAATAAAAAAAAAATCAGGATGGGCTCACCACGTCTGTACTCAGCCACTCCTCTATGTCATCCATGACAGAGGACTGGCCACCGACACCCTACACAGCAGCAGCGAGGCCGCCACAAATGAAAACAGAAATAAAAAAAAACCCGACCCAAAAACAACAGAACATAAGACTTAAATGAACTTAAGTGTTAACTCAAATACAACTTAAGGAAGTAAAGTATTTTCTGAGGAAAAAAACAGCAAAGAAATGGGTAATCAATAGTTGTGAATGGTGTGGCACATCATGCACACATAGGAGCAGATTTTATTAAAGAAAACAACCCACTAAAAATAACTGTCATGATGGGTATCAGAGAACAGCACAAAGTCTATGTTTCCTTCCGTACTTGATTGTTCAGTATCACTATGTGTGAAAACAGCTTCATGACAAGCTCACAAACAACTGACAAGACAAAATGTGGGAGTCCTGTTAGTAATGCTGCTTTAACTACATATAAAGATGGACGACGAGTCAATCTGTTAATCATGAAGCTTCACCATTTTTTTTATGGCATCAAATAACGAACTGAAAAATTACACAAAACAGAAATTGGTATGATAAGAACTACCTTAAATAGAGTGTATTTGAAATTTTTTTATTTGGTCCATGTCCCATGCACTAGCTCGTGGATACCCGAACCAAGACCATCAGGAATCAGACAAAAGTTCAAATGATGATTGGGTTTGAATTGGTCATGTTAACTGGGTTATCTACGTGATTTTTTACATTACACGTGCTTGTTATCAAGGGAAACATCTGGCTCTGCTCGGGGCTTCGACACAAACAAACAAGACGCCGGTTTGTTTCAGCTCATTTCTCTGGCTTGGTCGGGTTTGGACAGCGAATTGTGGTGTGAGCCACACTCTAGCATCCACAACCATGGAGGTGGTGGGGTTTATGACCTATACTGCAGTTATCCACCAGATGATTTGGCTTTACTTTAAGCTGGCATGTCGTCCATCTCTATATATAAAGCCTATGGTTCCACAACATCTAGCTTCTAGAGGCAGCAGTTAAAGTGAGAAGACATCTGCATCATGATGGTAAAGCTCGTCAGGCCGTCATACAGCACACATTCACAGACATACTTCAGATGTTGACTAAGTAATACAGAGTGACTGAATGGACTTATGAGCCAGTTTCAAAGAGACTCACCCCTCCTGCAGTCGGCTGTAGGACGTCCAGAGTGGGAGGAAGGCTGCCAGGGGCGTGGGTGTCTTCTGCTGTGGTACTGAGACAAGACAGACAGACGCTTTTGAAGTAATGTTTGGAACTTGCTTTGCCATTTTAAACAATCAATTGATCCACTGATCAAAAGAAAAAGATTGTTGAAGCTATTTTCAAGCAAAGAGTCTGTGGTGCCAGCTTCTCCCGTGTGAGAAAGTAGTTGAAACTGATGGACACTGTTTTCTGTACATCAGATGATAAATCAAGGGAAAATCTGAAGGTTGATTTGCATCAAAAATAATTAACAGAATAAAAACTTAATTTACACTTTGCATCTAAAGGAGCACAAACTGTAAATGTTGACACCTACAAATGTTGCATAGCAGAATCAGCAATAAGTCTCTAATGCTTCCTTACATCTTGCGTGGTTCCGACATAGCTCCAGTCCTGGTTTGAGCGAACACATCAAAGTCGTCCTGAGCAGGAGGCGGCTTACAGCTGGACAGAGAGCTCAGGGTACTGCTCACACTGTCTGCACCCATGTCTGGAGGGGAGAAAATACACCAGATTGTCATGTAACCCTGCAGCCTCAAACACAAGTACTAAGCCAATTGTACATATCTTTTATTATAAATCCCACAGAGGCGTTGTTAGTGTATCAAAACAAACTGTTCAGCCTTTGTTGGAATAATGTGTACTTGCTTTTTAAGAGTCAGGGAGACAGTTAGCCTGGCTCTGTACAAAGATCAAAAACCCGCCTACCAACAGCCATAATTACCAAGCTGTATCTTGTGTGTTTAATCTGTACACAAACCGAAAGCATAATGACAAGTTGTGGTTTTATGGAGGCTTAAGAGCAGGGACCTGTCTTGAGTTTTGAACTTTGGATAGACCTGAGGGAACTCTTCATTCTGCTTCCAGTCATTTTCTAAAGCCTCTTTTGCACTGGTCAATAAACCCACTAACTCCCACTAACGTCTGGCTTTTAACTGCAATGAGAATGGACACAAGCTGCGTTCACTCCCAGATCAAATGACTGGGCAGAAGAAGACATGGGTTTTTATCAGCTCTGGCCCTGATAGGCAGTGATGGAAACACAACACCTGTGTGACTGCGCGAATTTTCCTCTTCTTACGCTTTATTTTGACAGTCCAGATGCTCTGCTGCACTTGTCCTGTCATGACGTTATAATGTGCATTGAACTTTGGGGGAATGGTGTTCAAATAGCCATGAATGTTTGTGTATTAATGTTTTTCACATCTTGGAAATAATATGCAACATCTTTTTCTTCATATTGTGCAAGACGCAACACTGTCAAGACAGCGAGGTAATGTCAAACATGACCAGGGAAAAAAACAGAAAGACAAAGGAGTCAATTGACTTCTTTTAGAGGAGATTAGCCGTGTTTTAAAAAAATCCACATATACCTTCTAATTTTGGTGTTAAAAAGATACAGAGGTAGGATGTGCATACCGAGACCAGCCAGGCGGGAGGCCAAGGTGGCTGGCGAGGAGGGCCTTCCTGCAGGGGCAGTGATGGTGGCAGGCAAGCTGGTGGGGGCTGCGTTGGACATGTTGCTGACCACCGCAGGGGAGCCTGGGCCAAGGTCTATCAGGTTGTCCTCTGTGGCCTCACTAAGGACCTGGTGAAGGAGGAGTGATGAGACACACTTAAAGCTCTTGTGTCGTGTAGAAGCGGAGAGAAGGATTTAGTGTTTAGTGTTCAGAATTATACAGTACATTGTGGTAATGAAATGAATGATGACATAGTGCATAATAAGTACAAACTTGCAAAATGCGTTGGTTAGCTTCAGGAGAGCATGAAAATGTCTGTGATTGAAGGCAAAATTAAATTAAATTAATTTCTGAAAAACTGTTTCTTAAGGGGCTCCAAGATACTGATTTACAATGAGGGCATGTTTGGTATTTGCTTAGAAGTAATTCTTATCTTTAATTTCTGATTCGTTGTCAGTTATTACAGATGCACCGAAAGTGCTGGTCATCCATTAAAAAAACATCCCCTTAAGAAGATAGAAATCCAGCAGGGAGGGAGGAGGGAGGACTAAATCTTTGGGTTCTGGAGGTTCTGCTCTACTAAGATCAGTTTGCAAATCTCAAACCCCGATCATTTGAGAAAATGCAAACACGACATGACAATGTCACTGTCTACCTCCAGGTTCCTCATACCATTGGCTATAGGGGCTGCAAAGTCAAAACATGCCATATGGGGTGAAAAATACTACGCTGAGCCCATATATTTAACTATGTTTCAACGGTTGCTGTTGGGTGACACTGGTCATTTAGGTACAATATTTTCATACTTGCCTGTCTCAGCTAGCCACAGACACATAAGAACCGAAAAGAACAGAAAGGAAAAGACAGTGAATACCATTGACATGTGCAGGGACACAATGTAATGGCATAACTATGGGAGATATACTGTGCCAGATCAATGGGAAACCCAGGAGCCTCCCAGAGCACAGTTTAGCTTCATGCTTTTCATTAAATTTCTGGTAGACCCAGTTGAGATCTGGTATCAACATCCATCCATCACACGTGGTCAGTTCCTAAGTTCAGGTCTGAACGCACCCAGATGCACCATCTTTGCGTCCTGAGATCCGATCACTCACACCACATTCAGAGGTGAATGCAAATGCATCCTGGGCCACCTAAGGTGACATTCCAATCTGACCCGCTACAGTTTGACGATGATGATCTGACGTGTTTGTACAGTGTCCATTCACATGTTGATTTGTTTGTGACCACAAACACAATATCAACACTGATCACCACCCTTTGACTCCACGCACGCACAAACCACTTGCAATCAGATCTCTCAGGACGGACGTAAATACCAGTTCTGAACAGTGCCTAACTGAGAAAATTTGAATCAATGTTATAAAAATTTAAAGCAGCAATGAGGTAAAAACAACATGAAATTGAGGGAAAGTATAAGGCAAAGAAAGATGCTACTGTTAGCAGCTGCAAGCATGTGACTTATGGAAGTACAACCTAGCTGCTGATAAAAGTTGCTCTGTCTAGATTTAGATTTTGTGTGATTTGTTGATGGGTTTAAACCTTGAAAGACAGAAATGGACGCCCATAACGATTCAGACAATAGAGAGGGGACAACTGTTTAAGTGTTATGAATAACTCTCTGCTTCAAACAGTGCTTTCACATGTAAAGCCTTCTTTATTTTTGGAGTATAGCACCCAGCCATCTCCAAAGCTGTGACTAGACTGGACTCTGAAGTGCATTGACACAATCAATGTTTCCCCCTGCTGGCCAGGACTCTGATACAACAGGCCTGATCCATTTAATTAGGTATGTGCAATTGTGCATTATGTAAAGTGCTGGTGATTGACCGGACATTGTAAAGTCTGACCGATTATGTAACATGCACGGACACACTACACAACACTGAGAGGTGAGGGCATGAAAGAATGAAGAAAAGAAAATTAACACTGTAACATGGAGGAGAAAGCTCAGAACATTCAGACAGGTAATCCAGGAATTTCAAGTGTAAAACAAACACTGGGTGTTTCGCGACTCACCCCGTTGTTGACGCTCTGAGCAGAAGACCTCCCAGACCTAAACCTCTCGTACCTGAGGCAAAGACAAGGTGGCACAAGAGAGCTGAATGAGAAATACTTCAGTTTATCTAACTAAATCAGAGCAAACATGCAGGAAAAAGATGAATTTGGATGTGTGTAATTTTTTTTTTCCTCCTGCCCCAGCCATTGTGCCCATGAGCATTTTCGAACCTTTCGTAGCGTAAGAAAATATTGTTGAGGTCGTCATTGACATGCAGTAGCTCCTCAGTCACGGATTCATTGGAAACACAGGAGATGAGTTCCATTATTCTCTGCTGCATGGCTCTGCAAGTCCTGTTCAGCTCCTAAGAACGTACCAACACACAGATGGTCTCAGGTTAAGTTTTCTTAGTTTGTACTAGTCTGTTCAAACAAAAAAATATTCATCTTTTATATTTGCTTATTTACACACTTGAGGATATAGACACTGACAGACACACATAAGTGGTTCCTTGCCTGTAGTAATTCATAGTCTGAAGCATCCTCCTGTCCTGGGACCATCTCGGTCAACATCTCAGACATCACCTTAGTGTTTCCACGAACAATGTCCAACTCGCTGCGCAGCCGGCAAATCTGGATGACACAGAGACACATTCATCCATCCATCTGTCTGACCAGTGGGTGGAAAACTATATTAAGCTGATTTTAACTCTCTTAAAATAGATAATTGCATTGGGGACACTCAGACTTCAATCATGTAGTTTGGTTTGTTTCACCATTGTTACTTCCATGACACAAAAGAAGGAATATGTAGGTGACAGTGCTTTTGTAAGGAGCCTGCAGTTGTGGTGTCATTCTGTTTCAGGGAATAACTCTGCACCTGTTCAGATGTAGGATTGATGGATCCAGAGGCGAGAATGTTGGGGACCTGAGGCTCAATGTAGGCTGGCGGGACAACTTGCGGTGTGGGCTGAATGGGGGCGCTGTACTTGTTTAAGGTGGAGTCACCCTCTGGAGCAGTTGCAGACTAGAAACAACAGAGAGGGTTAATATAAATAACACAATGTGAGAGGTTAATTAGAAGGACTTTCTTATGATACTTAGACTTTGCATATGAGCTGAGGTAAGCTGCTTAATGAAATGCCTCCTACCCGCTGAGGTGTGTGTATAGGCGACAGAGTCTCCAGGTCTGACATGGGGAACTCGATGCCTTTCCTCTTCAGCTCCTCATAGATTTGAACGACCCCTGTGAGGTCTGGACTGCTCCTGAATGCATCTGCCCATGCCTGGAGAAGGCCAAGAAAAGAGTTCAAAAAAAGAGATGGAAAAATAAAAAACACAAGTGGATAAAGGGAGGACCTATATAGCAAACAAAGCAAAGAGATGTCAGAATAGTAAATCAGGCCTATTCTCTGATCATTTTTGGTTGTCTGCCTTGAATATAGTCAGTTGGCAAACCACAAAGCACTTGGCATCTCTCTCAGCAGTGGAGAGGCTAATGCTACACTGGGACACGATAATAGCTCAAGCACAAGCCAGACTTTCTAAAAAACAAGTTCACATGGACTTTGAGGGTGTTCTTTTTTTACTTGGCTTCTTTAAACTGCACAGCTGTTTGATCTAAAAATAATCTCTACAACCTTCTTTTGATTGAAAGCAAAATAAAAACCATGTAAAAGTAATACTCTGTGGCTTGAGATATTGTTTAGAATGTATTAACTGTGAACCTTTGCTCACTTGTATTAACACATCAACACAGGAGAGATGAGACAGTGAGGGAGCTGCACAACAAAACCACAGATGTCTAACTGGGTGTTGTGCATCTTGCTTAAAGATGCATCAACTCTGCATGTGTGTTGCTCAAAAAACTTTCCCACACAATTGTCCCAGCTGACCCTTGTGTCATAAACTTGTTTGTCTAATGATGAGAGAAACAACATTCTCTCTTCCCTCTCCCACAGGTATTGTTAGCTCCCCTGCTGGATCCATGCTGCAGCTGTAGTCACAAGGTTCCCATGGTGGACATGCGAGCAGTCCACATGAGCCCCGCAGGGTAACCTGAGCTGTGACAGGTAACTGAATGCTGCTCCTGGCTGAAGCCCTGAAGACATTGTACTTTACCTGAGGCTCATACTGAACCTTTGCACAGGTACATAAGTAATAAACACCTACACTTACATAAATAAAAAAAAACATGTCAGTGCTAACTTACCTAAGTTTTTTTTCCCCCTCACGTGTACAGCCATTAAAAAAAATATTTAATAGACTAGATAAATATCAGATGAATAATTGACTAAGATTAATGATATGCACAGGCTGTAGAGGCAGGGTACAATCTTGCTGTTATCTTACCTGAATCAGGGCGAGTACTTTATCTTGAACGATTGTCGGTGGGTTGTTTTTAGGAGAGATGATTTTAACAAGCACACCATCAACAAAGTCCCTGCTGGTGACAAGAGCATGAAAACGATGGCCGCAGTTCTTCACACATGTCTCCAGAACCTGGTGAATGCAGAAAACAGACTATTCAGACAAACAGAACATGCTAATGCCATGCAAAGCGTGGTTCATACACCATTACAGATATGCAAAACGTTTTGCAACCCAAACAGAGTGGAGAGGATAAGTGGATTTCAAAACCTCTGAATGCAAATTATGTTATAACAGACTGTAACACTTCATTTTGACTTCTGATTTATTTGCCTGATTGTCACAATAAAAAAACTAGAATAAATTAATCATATTTTAAATGCATTTTAATAAGTAAATAGGTGTGTCTCTTCCTCTTGCCACTTTTAACTCACCGTTAAAGCCAACATCACTTCTCTATAGTTCCTGTTGCCATTCAGCCTCTTCTTCACTGCTCTAATGGCATCTTTTGGCCTGTACACACACACACACACAACCAAATGTAAAGACACACATTAAACACACAAGTATAGCATAGCACATTATGCACACAGCTTTTTAATGGGCTGCTGAGACATACGAAGCAGAACAAACAAAGAAAGACTTAAACGTTAATGGACAAAAACCTTCTGAATGGCACTGATCCTTCACAACGTTGAGATACATGTCAACGATTATTTCCTTTTCACCACTGTGACCACTCTACTGTTCAACAGAACTAATTAACATGTGTGTTCTTTGACTGCTCCTAACAGATGACATCAGCGCCAGAGTAAATGGGCGTATGACAGCCCTCGCATTCCTCTGCGACAATAAAGAAGTAGAGTCAGGAATCTTTTTATAGACTGCTGCTGGTGTGCAGTACATTGCACCAGTCTAGACCCACCAAAGCCTGTTTACAACCTGCTAATCAAACAAGAGCTGGACTTCACACAGCAGCTCAAACATACAGGACAAGGTTGATGGAGCAGGGAGATAAGCAGGGAGCTCTCGCATTCATCCACCTCACACAGCCAGAGCCAGACCAGAAATGGGAAAGACAGGACTGACGCTGACATGTGGAGCATGCAGCAGCAGCAATGCATTGTGTGATCAGCGCAGGAACAAGGAAGACAAAATGTGCATGTGTGTGAGTTAATCAATAACACGTAGGGATCAGTTAGCCTCTGGTTTTCTCTGGGCACTCACCCATCCTCTGTTTCATTGATGATGTCGCATATTTCCATGTTGAGGGTCCAGTCTTCATTTTGCAGGGAGCCATCAGTGGCTCTCTCTGCAACACACACAAACACACACACACATGACAGAGGCTGAGAGGACAACCTGTGAAGACGTTTCAGTAAAACAAGGCAGCCCAATTACATGACGATGACCGGTGGCTAGCAAGCTGTTAGCTAACTTAGTGATTAGCTAACCTTTAAGATGTAGCAGGTCACTGCGTTGGCTGATGTTTTCAGCGCTAAACTAAGAAGTGACGGTTTCGGAAAATGGAGCATTAGAGTGATATCGACTCAATGACAGCAGGTGACGGCGTAACTACAGGTTAGCTTAGGAGGCTAGCGGTGGCTCTCCAGCTGTAGACAACTCATTCAGGGGACGTTAGCATGCTAAAGCTAGCTATGACCGTAAGCACCTATTAGCCCAAAAAGAGACGCGTCTCCGGGACACACGCCCGTCGAGCTGCACGCACTGTCGTTCCTTAAATGTGTGGGTACATTACCGATGCAGTGTCCCACCGGGGTACTGTAAGGATTTCCCAGAAGGAACTCCATCTTGCTCGACAACAAACAAGTCAGTCCATGGGCTGATGATGAGGAGAGCGATACATGAGGAAACGACTGGAAAAGCCCGCCCACCGAGCAGCCTGATTGGCCCACAAATCCTGACCTTTAGCGTGATTGGACAGTGGGAGCCTCCATCAAGGGAGCAGGGCGATTGTAAATAAAAGGCACCAAAGGTTGCATCCATAAACAATGAGGCGTTTATTTTATGGCTTTAGAGCTTATTCTGATATGAGATTATGCCAACATAGAACCTGCACATTTAGTCTTTCTGTTGTGATGAGTTTAAATATACATAATAAACTCTGCAAACATATTTTGCTTCAACGTGGTGGAAAGGCTTCAGACAAACATGAGTTAGACAATGTCATTCTTTAAACAGTAGGATTTATTTTAACTGGAAAAGCAACAGAGCCTTGTGATTTGCACATGAAAGTTACTACAAGAGGAAGATGGAGTACAATTGTTTTCAGGACTGTGCAGATGATGGCGATGACCATTTTTGTTTAGTCTCTCATCTTGTTACCACACTGAAAAATGCCAAAACACATAAACTATACCAAACTGAAGAAAACAAAAGGATATAATTTTCTCGTAGAGGATGGCAACTTAGGAAGACAAGATTCAACTGTGAACAAAAACATGATTTCTGGAGCAAAATGTATACGTCATGTCCTCCTACATGTTCTATACATACGTCTCCTCTCACCAGAATGTTCCCAACATTTTCTTGTTGTTGTGAACGCATCTGCCCCCGACAATCTCCAGCTGCTTTCCTCATATGTGAAAGGCAAAACTTTGGAAAATCTCACGACCCAATTTTCCAGTTATTTTCCAGAGTTCATGTCTTTACAAATACTAGTTTGAATGTAGTATTTTTAACCTTTTGCAAGAGGATTTCACATGAAGCGTGCTTCATCTACACACAGCACGGTTCGACTCAACATGGTTGGTTAGAAAGGCATATGCACCTTCCAGCATTCAAATTAACATTCCACCAAAAAGACAACAGCAGTAGTTTTCAGCAGCCAAAATGTCACGGATGACTGAGAACTGCCTAGAAACTCTGAGAGGGGTGTCACTCCTGGCAGCTGCTACATATTAACATGGCAAAAAACAGAGCCAGCATGATCGTGGAGTGATCACAGACAGAACAGTGGTCACTGCTAAACAGAACAAAGAGGGTGTGTAGTGTTTGTCTGCATGGATGTAGAATCACAGATAAACATTTGAGTTTCTGGTTGAGCTCTGGGTGATTTGGATTGAGGGCAGATTTGCTGTGTGCCCTTAAGAGTTTTTGTGTTTGAGCTCATCCTTCTCAGTCCTGCATGAGTTTTCTCTTGACAGTTGAACTTTCAGATGAGAGGTGAACAAAAAGAACTCCGGCAGCGGTCCGTGCCCTCAGCTCATACATGTCGTAGTCATGTGCCCACTCTACATTTCCCCAACTCTGAATCTGTGTGGGAGAAAAAAGAAAGATAAATAGAAATGTAGAATGTCATAAACCATCCAAAATGCGTTAAGAAATTTAATTATTTCCCAAGAAACTGACCAAAGTTTTGAAAAAATGCCCCATCTTGCAATGTTATAGAAATTGATAGAAATGTCTGTATCCAGAAATTGAACCAGATCTTCCTCAAAATGTAACCATTTCTTCCCTGGGTCCTGCCTCATCAGTTTGGAGGAAATTAGTTCAGTAAATTTAGTTTAAACTTGCTGACAAAAAAAACAGTCCTTTGTGAAAATGTGCCCTCTATGGGGAAGTAATAACCAATGACTGTCAGCAGAAAGGTTATTTTTTCTCAGCTGCAACACTGAAGTTGCAACATGCAATACAAGTGAGGAATAAATATGTCTAAGGTCATACTCTTCTGATTTCATGAGAATCATTATGAAAACACAAGAGGGTGCTGTTTCTCTCAAGACCATATGAAGAATTAATTTTTCTGGCAGTTACAGATCAAGGACACAATGACACTTGATAAAATAGCCCAAAAAAACACATTTGTGAGAAGTAGTAATATTAAATTATATTAACTCATCTTTTTGGAAAAAATCTGGGAGGAAAAAAACCCACCTGGTATTCCTCCTCCAGCCTGGAGAGCAGCACAGCCTGCTCCACACTCAGATGTCTGTCAATCATTGCCATCGACAGCACAACAGACTTCAGCTGTGTGATCACATACTCAAGTCCTGCACAGGAAAAGATATATTACTGAACAGCTCGGCCCTGCTGCTATTACAGCCTATTAAAGTTCTATAGAAACTGTCAGTAACTATCACAAATATAACTCTCCTGTCCATTTTAGTTGTACAATTTACATTTACAGTACAACCAAGAATAAAAAACTCTTTCATACAGATGATCTTGTCATATTACAGTATGGATTATAATATTTTACACAACACATACCATTAGACAATCAGAAGAACACCTAATCGCTGTATCTGCTTATCTTGGATCAGTTTTATAAATATTTCACCTGTCAGAGACCAAAAGTTGTAAGAATTCAGGTGTTGCCGGAATGTGTCTTTGGTCTCCTCTGGGATCTCAGGACCCAAAATACTGGACGAGGAGCCGATAGTGATGTTGTATCTGCAAGAGAATTGGGGGAAAATATACAATAAAGAACAAGTTGGTAGAGTACTTTGATTTAACAGTGCTGTACCGGGAGATTTAATGTCAGTGTTGTGACAATGATAAAAACTGCTGTTACCTGTTTTCAATCCAGTGCAGCACCGGGTCCCACTCATTCCTCTGTAGCTCAACCAAAGCATGAGGCTCATCTACTCTGTAACTACACAGCAGCACATATGCATCGTGAATATTTGAAGCCACAACTAACATAAGTAACTCTCTGATAAAAAAATATGTATTTATTTCACAAGCAAAGTTGTTGTACTGTGTTGATACATTGATGCATCGGTTATATTGACCATTTATTAAGAGAGTGTTGTTAAATACAATTTTATATGATAAAGCTATGTTTTAAATATGGTTGATATAAAAAATGTTTATTATAAAGAACAAAAAAATCGAACCAAATAAGTAATTGAGTAGTATACCAGACAGTGTCAGTCTCCAGAAACTTCAGAGCAGCACTGATCATGTGGTCCTTACTTCGCTGGGTGGGATTGTCCAGGGCTGTGTTGCACAGCGTAGTCTGCAGGAAGAGTAAACAGTTTACCTTTACTAGTGGCATGAAAAACTTAAAACATGGCAAGAGCTTCACGGTAAAAAAATATTCCTGGCAACATCACTAGGATTATTTTATATTCCATTTCTGCCAATAGATTCCTTTCACCCGAATCATGCACACAGGACCCTTAAACCACATTTCAATCCCCGGGTCAAAGGTCGTACCAGGTGCATACTGTAGAACTTGAGAGTGTCCCTTTGAGCATCCCACTCGGTTGCCACGGCGATGGCCAGGGCTTCATTCGGCACTGTGAACAACTTCCCTCCAGGTGTTTTCAGTTTCTTCCTGTCCAGGTTTATCTCATATACACCACCTACGTGACACAAGCACAGAGAAGGAACAACTTTAGTATGCCTTCTTTTATTTTGTCATGACATTGAAAAATACAATTGACACACAACTTCAACAACAACAATAATAAGATCTGACACTTACTTTCACCTTGGGATATGCTGACATCTTGATAGAACTTCTTTCTCTCTGGTTACATCAGAGGAGACATCATCAGTCAGCAGAGTTAAGCTGTAAACTAACAGGGGTCTCAGTTTGTTGAGCATTTCTCTTACCTGCTGCTGCTGTGGAGTACAGAGGACTCTGACTTCTTGGGCACACTTTACTGAGAGGATTTCTAACGTGACTCTGAAATCTGATCAGGCTCCTCAACATGGTGGTGTTTGGTGAAGATTATTTAGAAGAAACCAGCAGAGAAGAGAGCAAACAAGCTAGGCTACCTCTTTGTGACTGCAGTTCGTTAGTTAACTACACGCAACATTGTTATACTACGGTTGTTTTCCGTGTTAGCATCAGCTCTTGTTCATCCTGTCCTTGCTAACTGTGCTAAGTCGCTATTTCCTTCCACACGTCTTCTCCAGCTTTCACGACAAGCTCCTACGTTCAAAACCATGCGTCTGACCTTCTGCGCTAGCTTGACAGATGGAGTTAAACACAGTTAACAGTCGGGAAGTGTAGTTTTTAATTGCATCTACGTGGTGTCACACGACGAGCAAAAAAACTACACTCGCGTCCTCCCATGGCGACTTCCGCAAATGTAACCAATGAGCGTTGAGAATCTTTGCGAGGTCTCTTCAATTGGCCAATGAGAGGGGTGGATGCTGCTTCTACGTCGGCGCAACGAAGTCCCCTCACTTTTTTTGGGAGCTTGGTGCCTGGTGAACTAAGCTCCGGAGGAATAAGTCGGGGTCTGAGTGTTGGTGGGCTTCACCGCTCCTCCTCCCCGCTGACAGAGCCCATCGCCCGGACGGCCAGTGACCGCGGTCGGCGCCCCCAGCCAACGAAGCGGGAGCCATGCCCGTCCCCGCCGGATACCTCGGCGAATCCCCCGCCGCGGCCTTCGCATCCTCGGCCTCGCTTGTCCCGCCGCCGCCGATAAACACCCGGCAGCCCGGCGTCGTCACCTCGCTGCTGTACAGCGGCTCCAGGTTTCGGGGCCACCAGAAGAGCAAAGGGAACTCGTACGACGTGGAGGTCGTGTTACAGGTGCGGCTGCTGGGGGGGGGGGCGGACATGTTCATGATGCGGGCGAGCTGTCAGGGCGATGTGGCGATCTGTCAAACGGGCGGTGTGCTGACTGACAGCTAGGAAATCAATGGGGGCCTGTCGTCGATCAACCCGCCAAGCTAACTGTGACTGTAGCCACAACCAGCAGCCCTGTTTACCCATTAATAGACATTGAATTCATTGTTATTACAAGTATTTAATTCATTGTTATTATAAGTAAACACCTCCCTGCTGAGGGCTAATGTGGTATTGCTGCACCACGTAGCAAGACTCATGCAACATGCATGTCTATGGTTGTTTTGTGTGATAGGATATAAATAGCAAGTGAATATTTAATCCCATAAACACGTCGTTCCTGCTTCTTGGCTGAACATCATGATGCAGATGTGTAGTAACACTGTTGTTTGTTGTGTTTTCTTTCTAAGCATGTCACCATGGAGGATTCCTACTTGTGTGGCTACCTGAAGATAAAGGGACTGACCGAGGTGAGAGGACTCATTCTCTTTATTATTCAGCCACAAACATGATTTTTTAAAAGCTGTGTCTGGCCACTGGCTCGTGGTGTCCCCCTTTTTTTCAGCAGACTGGTACAATCTAGCTCCACTCGGTCCTGCTCAGTATTGTGCAGTTTACATTGTACTCAGAGGACATCACGTTGGACTCCACAGCAGATCCGAGCACGTTAAAGCTGCCTCACAACCTGGGTGTCTGCTGGTCAACTCACAATGCACCTGATGGCATGTTCTTATAGTCCCTGCACAGTTAATGATGACTGTCTCCTTTGCTCTTGTTCTCTTTTGTTCGTTCAAAATTCCCCGACCATTAGACTGCCAGATGTTGTGTTTACAAATCAAATTTGCTCACCCTCTCGAATGTGTTAGCTTTACTCGTTTGCTGTACGAGCTAATGCACCCACAATGAGGATGGGACAACTTCCATAAGTCCTGCTCTCAAACTAGAATACCACTCACTTGAATATAGATTAGGAAAATGCCTTATATCATAAAAAAAAAAAACTCTTTGCTGTGAAGCAAAGAATTGTTTTTTCATTGCACTGTGACGCCACCATGTAAAAACATAACTCTAATCAGTGTGAATAAAATGATTTATGTACTGTTTTGTTAACGCTCATAGGAATACCCAACTCTGACCACGTTCTTTGCTGGAGAGATCATCAGCAGGAAGCGGCCATTTCTCACCCGGAAATGGGATGCAGATGAAGATGTGGATCGTAAGCATTGGGTAAGGCAAAAACTGAATTTATAATCTCTGCAGTGCTCCACACATGCTGTTTTCTAATCAATAGTCATTTTGTGTGAAGGGCAAGTTCCAGGCCTTCTACCAGTATGCAAAGACATTCAACTCAGACGATTTTAACTATGAGGATCTAACGAACTCGGACTATATTTTCATGAGGTGGAAGGTAAGGTGCTGCCTAATTTAGAGCTTGACCACAGGTTCAAGTAAGTGACCCCTGACCTGCAGCTGCTGCTGTTCCTCACCCTGTGCATCTCCTCAGGAGCAGTTCCTGGTCCCAGACCATACAATCAAAGACATCAGCGGCGCTTCCTTTGCTGGGTTCTACTACATCTGCTTCCAGAAATCCACAGCAACGATCGAGGGCTACTACTACCACAGGAGCTCTGAATGGTAACACAGCACAACACTGGTCACTGTGAGGTGAAGTTGATTTTAGTGAAGGAAAAGGAAAAGTTTCTGGATTAAATTCCAGTTGTTGATGGACAAGGTTTCCTGTGGATTCTGTCTGTGAAGACTTTGCGGAAAATATTAACCAAATTTACCGACCTGAGCAAGATTAGGTCAGTTAGAGGTTATAAAACTATCTGATACATTTTCGGTTAATTGCCCAGCCCTACGATTGACTGCTGCTATAAACCACTTCTAGCATTATAATATTTTGTTTTGGGTTTTGTATTTGTCAGACTTGACCAGAGTCAAATGATTCCATTCGTTGAAACTTTTTGAGACAAATGAAAACCTTTATTAATCATCTTAAAGTTCAAAGATTTTTTCACAACAACTGAAGACTGAAGTATTTCTTTATAGGTTGGAATTAGTGTCTTACAACTTTACTTATTGAAGTTCTAACTATAAAAGCCCAGCGTTTCACTCTTATGTGAAGAAGAAGAAGCAAAATGTCTCATTTGCATTTGTCATAATTTTAATAAAGCTGAACACACATGAAAGCCATATAACAGGCAAATAACTGAATGTTAACTCTAGGATGTTTTCATCTACATGTTATCTAGTCTGCCCTTAATTTTTTTCTAACATATACCATGTTGTTGCACTGCAGGTACCAGTCTCTAAACCTCACCCATGTTCCAGAGCACAGTGCAGCCATCTATGAGTTCCGGTGACCCCGGCATCGTGGATCTTTGATTTTTTTTTTTTTATTGGACGGACAAAGACTTGCGGCTAAAGCAGAGTTCTGCAGATGCTACTGAGGAGGAAAAAAGAGAACAACCACGGTTGAGAACGTGAGCTTTGGTGAAGTGCTCGTATGTTCTCACTAAACGGATGGACAGCTGACTGATGGATGGGACAAATGAATGTATGCACAGAGGAGACGAGAAGGAAGAGCCAGTTCTGCTCCCTGCCCGGAGCTTGTGACGTCAGAACCAGCAGCAGAGACTGGGTGTGGGTCATATCAAATACCCATTTTATCATGTGTTTTAATGTCTGGTTTAAAAAGACGCTTTGCAAAGCATCTCGAGACACTTTATAAGCTGAGTTGGGAATGTCCCCCTCTTGTTGTTGCAACTACAAATGTTTCCAGCTTTCATTCAGCAGATGCAGAACGAGCTACATAAACACGTTTGACGACAGCAGGACAAGGATTCCTCTGAGAAGTTCGCTTTTACAAACACAAGCCCTCAAGAAATACAATCATGTCAGTTTTGCTTTTCATGGTTGGAGCTCTTCCGGGTTGAGGATCGGAGCTTTAATTGACCCATAAGCTACAGTATAACAACAGTATTTTTTTTTTAACGCTAAGCTGGTATTAGTTTGCCTGCCAAGAGTATGGACGCAGCGTGGCACCTTTTTAAAGGCTGAAGTGTTAGTGATACACAAAACAAGCTTTTCCCCTGTGTCAAACTTTCTTGGGAGATTATTATCTCATGTGATTGCTGTGGATCTGAATCTATTGAGAATTTGCACAAAGATGGAGTACGCGATACTAACGCTTGCAGTCGGAATTTTACATTCGCACACCTCAGTACACAAGCTCCGAGCGTCACGGTGGCATGTCAAGCTTTTTTGACTGGTTTTTAAGGGTATGGAGCCAAAAGAACTACAAAGAAGTATTCAGAAAGAAAGTATTTTATTTTACCTTGCACTCTGCATTAAACAGAGCTTTTTGCTCCCTATGTGTCATTTTAAATTAAGAACCCCCCCCACTATCCCTACATTTACACGTCTCCTCGACTATGCAACACTGTCAACATAGCACTCTCCAAACTTCAAACCTTCAGTTTTCAGAGACAAAAAATTTATTCTATCGTGAAAGAGTATATGAAAAATTCAAAAAAAGAATCTATCTTCATTAAAAGAGGTATTTTTGTTAAATTGCCTATGAAATCACTCTCCTCCCCCATCATGATCCCCTTCCATGTGATGGTGCCATCTTTTTAAACGTTTATCAGAGTTGTATTATAACAGGTCAGAAGTGTGTTTGAAGAAAAGCCTGGATTTTGATTGATGGTGTGACTGTAAAGAATCGATTGCAGATTTGAAAAAAAACAAATGGTTTCAGACTTTTCCGTGTGTCTTGAATGTCTGACTGATGCATTACATTCAATATATTTGAGCATTAATGTGGCGTTAGACAGGAACACAGTGGGCACTGAGATACAGAAGTTCTGGTGAAGAGAAAAACCCCTCGAGCAAAGTTGGGGCATGAAATGTATTCCATCCATTTACTATCTATATTGCTTATCCTTGTGGGGATTGATGGTGGAGCAAAGCATATCCCAGATGACATTAAGCGGGATGTGGGGTACACTCCATCACAGGGCAGATTAACCCACTATCAATACTCATATCAACCAATCTGCATGTTTTAGGACTGTGGGAGGAAACTGGAATCTCAGGAGAAAACCCACAGGGACTCTGGAAGTACTTCACACATAAGGACCAAGGAACGATTTGAATTGGGAATGTTTTTGCTGTGAGACAACTGTGACAACCAGCACACAGAAATATATAGTGGTTGATATGCTTCACACAATGGTGCTTTGAGCTATGGAATGTCACTAGTTTTGCAGAAATTATACATGCGTAATACATTTTTTTTGACCCAATTATTATATTAGATTGAAAACTGGACTTACCAAAGTTATACAATTTTGTCCTGAGGGTGGCGTGAATGTGTGCTGCAGACTTCCAGGCGTTA